AATAAGAAAGTAAACATTTAGGGAGGAAAAGCTATATTTTGCTTTCAAGGATTAAAGCAGTTTTCTTGCAGAATGTACTTGTAGATGCTTTTCTTCAGCTAAATAGAGTGGTGAGAGGTGGTTCCTGACATCTTGTGGGGGGAAATTCCTGATGATGGAAAATGAAATGGCAGGTGGACAAAGAATATAAAGGTGGACAGGTGAGGTTGGTACTCAGATGGAGGGGAGTGTGTTCAGCAGCTGCACATACCTTTCTATGCTCTCAATATCTTAATAATCTTTTTTTTTTTCTTTTAGCATCAAGTTATGTAGTATTTACTGTCAAGGGGTAAAAGCATGCCATAGCCACATGCCTATAATTGTAATAAAACTCATTTTCCGACATGCAGATCTTCATACTATGACTGTGCACCATTTGTTGGATGGGTTCCTGCTGTCACGGGAGATTTATGTGTGGTTATGTCCAGATTTTATCATCAGGTTTGTTTTTGTATGTGACTAGCACAGTGATCTTCGAGCCATAAGTATGCATTCATAGGGGCTTTATGAACATGAGTTGTAGTCATAAAGATTTTAATACATACATTTTAACACCATAATGTTAAAATAATATCTGTGTTGTTATGGATCATCATTGGTAGCTGAGGAGATTAAAAAATAAAAAACAAAAAAATAAAGAAGAAGGAAAGAGCTCAGAGGAAATAGTCGAATCAAATCTGGGTGGAAAAGAATCCAGGCCTTTTTGCACAGGAGCTGCTCAGGCTGCGAGGGTGACAGAGTAGAAAGGACAAGCTGTTGATCTCAAAATACACGGATTTTTTTCTATCCTTGAGAAGATCATTATGCAAAGTGATGGCATACACTGTGCATGGCAGGCGAATATAAGAACATGCTTCAGATTGTGGATGTAACTCAGCAAATTGAATTCATTGCTTCTCCAAAAGCAATTTAGCTTGATCCAAATTCTGAAGGACTAAGATGCTTGTTCATTGTAGCATGTTATTAATTAATGGCATTGCTTAATTTGACTCCATCAGTAATTACAGAGTCTTTGTCACTGTAAATAACCAACTAACTATTGTTTAGCCATATAACTCCTATTGTGAGTATTACCACTCTTTTTTTTTTTTTTTTTTAGATAAAGCTCCTGCTGGTTAAACTAAGTATTGTTGTTAACAATTATAAAAAAATATTGATCTGCCCACTCTTTAAACACAGAAACTTTAAACATTTTATGTTAACTGAATGCCTTATTATAGCATCCCATCCAGTCTCAACGTTTAATAGTAAAGTGAGCCTTTACAATGCCCCAAAGTATACTTAAGCTCCCTACTAACTCTGTTTATCATCCAGAATGGATTACAATTCTTTGTATTTTATTTGTATAAAGCCATGCAATTCTATTATGTTTTATGGTAGTTAATTTACAGCATCATTTATCCAAGACAGAAATCACATGTAACTTTATCTAGACAAATGACTGTAGGCCTGTATAATAGATGAGAGATTAGACAGCCACATATGTTCAAGACTGAGGCTTTTTTATTGTTAAGTGGAAACTGCAGGCAAAATTTGCAGGCATTAGTTAAATCAAGCTCAAAAATACTTTTTAAAATTTGTATTAATGTTTTTATTCTTATTTAATGCAAGCAACAGCTATTTATTTCATCCACTCTGAAGTGTGTTTTACTGAATTCTATATTTTTTCTTTTACCCATATAGACTCTGGATTTCTGAAAACTCTAATGACAGGATATAATTGTAGTTTGGCACAGAGCTGCAACACAGAACAGAAACCCAATAACTGTCCTATCTCCCCGTCTCCACCTGGGAGAGCCAGGTGCAAATATTTATAGGAGAGAAGTCTGTAGAACTCAGAGATAAAGTCTGATTCGGCCCATATTTAACTTCTGTTCAGCAATGCCCCAGAGGTATTTAGCCTTCCACAAATGTCTTTCAGAGATTTGCTTGGTATTTCTCGGTGCAGGAGAAATGGCTTTGCTTATAGCTGATGACAGATGTCCAAACATAGGAGACAATAAGTTACTGTGGATTGTATAGTTCATTTTTCTGATCTATTTGGTAGGCTGACAATATGAATTGCAGAGTAAGTGGTAGTTCAGTCTAATCAAGAGGGAAGAACAGGCCAAATCTTTAAATGTGCACTTTAAATATAGTGCAATAAGGGGAAAAAAAGTGATGCAGGTTATTTGGCTCTAAACAACACCAAGGAAGGAGGCCAGCTTTTACATGAAAAGAGCAAATACTCTCTCCCGCTTTCCTCAGTGATCCAAGCTAACCACACACTCGGGTTAAACATTTAATCAAATCTTTTAATTATCTTTTTATTATTCAGGTCGTGTTCATTTTTATTATAATCAGACATAACATTTGCCACAGAACCATAAACCCATGATAAGTGATGGCTGAGATCCCCGTTGTGAAGACATGGTAGGTAGGAACAGATCTTCCTACAGTATACAAGTCTTTCAGAACAATATATATATTTTTAGACATCCCTTTGTTAAAAACAAACATGAAATAGAATAAAAGGAGCAAGAGACAGATTGTGGTTTTCTTACAGTTCGTGTTTTGGAGAAATCTGGAAGGTTTGCTCACATTGCGCCTGAGGGATTATCTCCTAAGTGTAAGGACTTTTTATAATAAGCGTGAAGGTTAGCAACTAAGAAATTCATTTCATATGCTTACATATTATGAATGACCCAAGTTCCTGCGAATTAGCTGAGTGCTGTGTCAGGAGTACAGGGAATCAGCTCTGCTAGGGGTGAGTAGCTGGATGAGATGCTGGTGCCTGGACTGTAGCAATTGAAAACTGCTCAAAGTGGCATATTTAATGTGCCATTAAATTTATCACCTGAAATGTAAATTTTCTCTCTTTTATGTGCTTTGGATGAGTGTCACCAGAAGAAAAAGTCCTGTCATCAGTAAACTACTTGGCTTTGGAGTGAAGAAGCTTCCTGCAGAACTAATTTAGCATTAATTCCAGCAGATGGTGGCCCAAACTGTGTCATGTACCAGCAGCACAGTTAAGTCAGGACGCTGTGGGAAGAGGAAAGAAAGTAGCTGTGCAAACAAAACCGAACGAGTACAGAAAAGGTCTAACTCTTTCTTGGTGTGCTGCCTCTGCTGTGAAACTTCACTTTGTTAGCAAGTGCTGTGCTTGTCCTGACTACTACTTTGCTCTTATTTGCTGCTTCTTAGATACTGTTCCTTGATTTTCACTTGCACGTTTATTGACTGCATCCCCATCGCTATGTTAGGGCATTTTTTTAATAGAATCTTCAGGTAAAGGCCATTAAATTCAGCAACCACAAAATATCTTGTTTAGTTCACTAAATAACACATTCACATAACGCATTCCCTTTTTCTAGCTAGCTTTTCAGCAGAGTAGCTCATAACTAGATTGGAGCTGGTAGCTCTCTCACCCTTTAGAAACAGTGTCCTATTTGTAATCAAATTTAGTAAGCATCTGAAAAAATTTAGCTGAGCAACAGTTTTGAGGAAAAATAGAGTTCCTAAATACATCAGCAGCTGTTCCAGACCCCCTTTAAGAGCAAACTGCCTGCTGGAGCATTTACATGCTGCAGCCAGATGCTGTGGATTAGTTTTAAACTCCAGGATTTTCCAATGTTTTTAAAGGAATAGATGATGTGCCTTGGGGCTAGACTGAAAAAAATCTTTTACAGATGCATCAGCTGGGCAGTTGCAGACTTCATTTGCATGCTTGGAAACTCAGAACTTGAAAAGAGGGCTTTAAAACATTGCTGATTATTTTAGACTATGTGACATGTGTTGTTCACAATGTCTCTGCTGATTTTATCCTAACCGTAATTCTCCTTTAAATGGTCTTAGTGCTCTCTATCCTGAAGAAAAAAAAAAAAAAAAAGCAATATCACTGTCATCTAGAGATAAATGGGCACAATAATCCTTCCATGATCCCTGCTTTGCCTCCTCCCAGGGCCCAGCACCACTTAGGACGTGCTAAGAGTTTGACTTCAGCTTGCTGAACTCAGAGACATGTTCAAGTAGATGCAGTGTTCTCCCCTCTGCTTTAAGTTCCTGTCCTGCCATAAACTTCTTGGGTGAGAGTCACTTAAGGTTACAGCCACAAAAATTTTAGCACGTTTTATTCATGTCTCAGCTGTCAGGGCAAATTCATGAAAACTTGCAATTCCCCGAATTTCCCTTCCCCTCGTGTCACCATCGCCTTCTCGCTTCTGGGGACTTACTGTAAAATAAGTCACGGTGCTGATCTGGTTTGAATATCTTCTTTTGGCAGGGAGGATGGGGTAACGTAATGTCAGCTTGAAAATCTGAAATATCGGTTGCTTGCCTTTCATTGCCACATAAAGTGGCTCATCTGTAGTGACAAGTGTGCAAATCTGCAAGTTTAGGTATAAAAGAGATTTTTATGCATCTGTGGAATGACCAATGAACTGATAGGTTATAGACCTTTTTCCCTGAAATATGTTAAAATAATGATTGCATTTGCTAATTGGTAGCCTTTTAGGCAAATTCTGAACAAAACTCCTACACAAGTAATTGCTGGCCTCAAGTTTTTCTAGTCATTTGTTGCACGCACTTAAGTTATTTTTGTCTCTTTTCCGTATGTTTATTCTTTCTACTGGTAAAAGTGGGCTATAGGTTTACCCATATTCATCTGTTCCCAGAATGAGTTTTTTATTATTATATATATATACATATTTTTATTAATCTAGGCTAGTTTTAAGGTACAGGAAAACCTAGAGAGAAGAATGATCCTGTCAAGGAAAGAAGAGCAATTGGATAATCTGGGAGGAGCTTTCTTTGTATTGCTATGATGTCCTTTATTTAAGAATTTCTCATAATTTTGTTTATTGTTTATATCTCTGCAATCTGATAGAAAAAAAGGGAAGGTTTAGCAAATTAATGTGTTATGTATAAAGTAGGAAAGTTGTCCCTTCACTGCTGTAGGCAGCAACACTGGTCAATGCTCAGTATCAAGAAGTCAGGTAGCCACCGAGGTTTTGTTCCTCCAATGTTTTTCTCCTGAAAGCAAAAAGAATAAAGAGGGGATAAAAAGGGAACATCTGGGCTGGGCCGGGACAAGCCGTCTCCACTGGCAGCCCTTCAGAGTTCCTAGGGATGGTCTACAGCAGTTTTTGACTGCGCTCTTGTATTGGTAGCTCCTCATGACCAAGTGGCTAGTGGTAGTGGCCCCAGAGGAAGGCCGTGAGAGCCACAGGTCACCAAGCATGGTCTGTGATATCGATTGACCTCAGGTTAAAACCATATGCTGCTCTTGATGGCCTTTGTAATTTGGGGCAAATCAGTGTTAAATAATTGTGGCTCAGGTTTCCCCTTATGGAATGAGAAGGATTTCATTTGTTCACCTTTTAAAATGTGCTTGGCAGCCTCAAGTTATTGGGGATTTCTTCCAGACCCTGATGAATAAGCACTCTTCCAGTACCATGATGCTTGAGAGCACTTCAAGTTAATTCTAGCTTAACTAGAATAAGTGCTATTTCTGTTCTTTTATTAAAACCATGCTTTGTTGTAATGCTTTTGTGCTGCATTTACAAAGCTACATTTCAAGCCTGAAGCTATGGAGATAAACGGACACACATGGAGATGCTGTTCTTGTTCAGAGAAAATATTCCTATCTATTAACATCGTGTGACGAGCACCCACGGCATCTATGGCGACCCGTGCACTGTGTGATACAAACCAAAGCAGCCTTGGGGCGGGTGTGGGAATGAAAAACAGAATGACTGAGGTAAATTAAAGCATTAAAACCAATAGCACACTCCACAGCCTTCACCGCGCGCTCACTGATTATGGCTTTCTGTACCTGATAATGATGAGGGGAATGAAGTACACCAGGAAGGCGACCACTGTCATGTAGGGGATCCAGTAGGAGTCATCAGGCCAGAGCGCCCAGCACTGCACTTCGCCATTGGAGAGCTGCCGTTTCCCAAAAATAATCAGAGTCGGTATCGAAAACAGGAAGGAGAGGCTCCAGGCCACTCCAATAAGAACTTTCGCCTGCCTTTCTGTTCAACAGATTCAAACAGACCGTGTTAATGGGCTGCTGGTGCCGCTGGCCATTGTAGCAATGCTGAAACACAGGCAGGGAGGAGGAGGAAACAAGTAAGAGGAAGGCTTTGCACCCTGTTGATTCTGAAAAGGTTGCACAGGAGAGTTTCGTCTTGGTCATTTTTTTATAGATGCCACAGAGACGTGGCCCTGGAAGAGCTGTCAGAGCCCTCGAAGAGCTGGAGAGGTTGTCCCAAGGCACTGTGCAGTGTGGTAGGATCACATCCAGCTTCTACCAATGGCCACGTGCCCAGAGTTTGCCAATAGGGCTTACGTGCTGCAAGGCTGATGCTTGTGATCTCAGCCTTGTTTTGTTCAGTCTTATAGGTGCTGCTGCTGGAGATCCTGCTGGACCTCACAGCAATGAGCAGGAGCTCCAAGGTGCTCAAGTAGTCTGCACACCAGGAATACTCCTTTCCCTCTGCTTTGCTCCCCTCTGCTGCCAAACCGGAAAAAATAGAAGCCAGGTGATGCCTGATAACACCTGTGGAATTTTCTAAAAATCAATGAGTCAAAGGAAGATGCCCTAAAAGCTCTCATGGTCCACAGTTCTGCATCTCCTGTCTCAAATCCATGTAGCTCTAGCCAAAAAAAAAAAAAAGAAAGAAAGGAAGGGAGGAGGGAGGGGTGCTGGTTGTGGAGCACCTGCGATTGCCAGCAGAAGTTGCCCAGTTTTTCTGCTCCAGAGACAGATGGGGACTGGTTTTAATGCCAGGTAACTTTGGTGTTGAACTATTTTATGGTCCTACCTGCCTGCAAAGTGCCTGGAGATGTGCATGGAAAACTAAAATCACTTTAAAGTATGCATTATCAAGACGAACATTTTTCCTCCTTGAAGCTCAAAGAGCAATATGAGAGTAAATGGGAAAAGCATTCAGAAAGTAATTTTACGCTTTATAAAACATCAGTTGCAAATATTCATTTATCCCACTCATTTTTAAATGCTACTCTTGTTCAGTAAAACATAGCCTTACTAATCTAGGGCTTTAAGGGAATTCTGAAGACACCTACCTAAGTGCAAGGATTAGATGAAGTCTATAAATATTGCACAGGCAGAGGAAAACTGTGAAGTTTCATAAACTGTAACAGAATAAACTTGACAAAAGGAATGTTAGGAGCTAGTACTACAAAATATTTGCTGACAGAAAGGGCTTTCAGACTATGAGCTAGTGACTTCAATAACACACACAGGAACTTTAGTGGGGTACACATGTAGGGGAAAAGGAAAATGGGTAGGGACCCATTATTTGGGTAATGATGTACTTTGTATTTTTATATGATTTAGCTACATCCTTAATTTGAAGACCATTGGTCAGTTTGGGTTTGGCAAGAGGATTATTTTATGTTTTATAAAACAGCTGAAATGTTACAATGTTCACTTATTCTCCTTTTTAAATATTTTAAAATAGAATAGAATAGATAAATAATAATAATAAATATAATAATTTTTGTTAGAAAAGAATTTATGGGGACCTGATAACATCTACATAAGAGGATTTTTTGTTTTATTTGACTAATGTTAATTTGCTGTCTCTTAAGTATTTTTTTCATTATGTTTTTAATAAGTGCTATAAAAATATGATGCAGCTAGAAAATCACATGGCTAGAGCTAAGTAAAGTATAGGTGGACTCAAATAAATGCATTTCTACATACAAACGTCCACTCAACCAATCTCACAATTTTTCTTTTTTTTTAAAAAAATTTCCTCTTTATAAATATATGTGAGCATTTGTAAAGCTTTTGATACACTGCAGTGCTAACCAGTGCCAATGCCCAGGACTGGAGCAGGACTCTCAGCCATGCCTTCTGCTCCCAGCATTGGCCAAAACTCTTTTAACAGTCTCTTTCATGCCCTTGTCCCCTTTGCACCTCTTCTTCTGTCTGTGTATTGCTGCGATGCATTTGAGCACATCTGCCCGTTGCTGGGAGTGTGTGGTTGCAAGTCACCCCTGGGACGGAGACGTTTTCCCTGCTAGAGTCAGGGCAACGCTGTGCGATACTTTCATAAGCCAAGTGGCTTTCTAAAAAGAGTGGGATTTATTGCTCCCTAGCCCCTACAGAGCCATCGCAGCACCTCATTGCTCTAGCAGGCGGGAGCAGCTCAGAGATGCTCGTGGAACAGTTTACCCCAAATTGGGTTTTGTCTTTTGTTCAGACAGCTCTGTTGCCCTTGTTGTTTAGTTTGTACAAGGTTTGTATGTGTGTTTTAAACATGATGAAATATTCATAAAATGTCTTCAGTTCTAACTTCTAAGATTTTCTTTTCTCTCTCCAATCTTAATTTTACCTTTTTCTTTCTTTTTTTTTTTTTTTCCAACAGCTCTTTTGGTTACTGAGTTAGAATGTATAATTCTTCTGCACCTTGCACCTTCTGGAACTTGAGTATAAAATATTTAACACTCAAAGTTAATCTTCAAAGCTTTGCAAAATGCAGCTGCTTCTTCCCAATAGCTTCTTAACATAGCTGGGGGATAGTAATTAAAACACAGCTTTGTTTTTGGAACAAATTGCTTGCCATTTTCAATGCAAAGGGAAGGGAACAGAGCTGATGGTGGCTCCTCACCTTCCCCTGGTCACTTGGTGCTCGCTCTGGGTGCTGGCCACGCTGCCGCAGCTGAAAGCAGGGCCCTGTGATGGTCACTGCTCTCCGCAGTAAAGCTGCCCAGATCACTGGGGCCTTGGTGAGCGGGAAGGAAAACCAGGTTGGGTTCCCAGTCTGCCCTAGGCTCATTATTGCTTTATTATAAAACAAGTTCTGATTCAGCCGGCACAAAAGCCAGCACTCCACCTGCGTGCAGAAAGGAATAACATGCTGTGTTTTCTTTCACCTTCGCCAAATTTTACCTAGCAACATAAAAAAAAAAGGCATTTATAAGGGTTTTGGAGTCTTCCTGTCCTGAACAAACTCAGTCTGCCTGCTGGGAAATACTCAGCTAAGCCTTGCACATGTTATTTGAAGTTTTCAGAGCTTAACATCTGCCAAAGCTGTATCGTTCCCTGAGGCTGTGATTGATTCATAGGTTTTTTAAGGCTAAAAAGGACTGTTAATGCAATGTCCTTAATAGAGCGGGCTGTCAAATGCCATCATTACTCCAAAACAAGAATGATATTTGTGTCTGTTTAAATTGCATCTTCCAAGTGCTGTGGTCCCTGTAACTGCTTCCCTCCTTCCCCACATGCATTTTCGGTTTCTTCACTCAGGGCAAGATATTAAACTTTAAACTCTAAGATCTGTAGGAAAGAAATTGTGCTCTTTAAATGTATTGCTTAGTATTCAAGCTGGTATTAGTGCTACTATTAGTGCTATAAAAATAACAACCTGTAGTAGAAGAACTATAAGAAACAGTAAATATTCTAAACTTACTTTGTATAGTTTTTGCAGTTCCCTGATCAAAATGTCTTATTAATTCTCAGTACTTCACTCTCTATCCTAATTATTTTTATTGTCAGTACATAGATAACATAGGTAAGAAATTCCTGCTATAATTCCAAGAGTCAGTACAACTGTACAAGAGAGAGCTTTTCCCCATAACAATTTTCTCAAAAAGCTAGAAGATAATGAAAGCCGCTATACTTCTTTAAATGTCATTTCATTCTTGCTAACACAATGCTTATAGAACTGCTGAAGGCTAAGTGCAGCTTAATAAATCTTGAAACCGCAACTCTATTGCCATTTGGGAAACTAATGGAGTCCAAATATTGCTACAGCAGGACTCAATAAAGTTTAATGATTTTGAAACTTTTCTGAGCAAAATGGAACCAGCCAATAACATCCATAGCAGTAGCAAGGCACAGAAATTCTCCTACCTCCTTGCAAGAACTTCATTGGATAAACTATGGCATGATACCGGTCTATGCTTAGTGATACGAGGACATAAGTTGAAGCATAGAGAAGCACCACCTGGGGCAGAAGACAAGCAAGAGAATTGAGCAGTTGAATTTATAGCAATTGAGACACATTTGCATAAAATAAGGTTAGCTACAATACTGCTCTGTAGTTAATATTTGAAATCTTTTTTTTGAAAGAAAATGAAAAGAAAAATAGAAGAAAACTTTTGTATTCTCACCCAAATCTTTTTTCTTTTTGTAGTCTGCAAAGTGTAAAGGATCTCATATGGTTTAATTAAAAGCATTTAAACTTTAAAGGATTGTTTTTAGCATTTAGCACTTCCGTTGTTTGAAGACTCTCTATACAGCATTTTTGTGTGGGTTTATTGCTATCATCTGAGCTTTGCTATAGGGAAGGGCAAGTGGTTGCTATACCTGTAAGTAGCGGACAACTCTGCAGACGAGATCAGGGGCCATGAAATCTCCAGTGTAGCGCCAAATGATGTCTGTCATTATGTTTACGAGTCCTGTGAATGAATCTGCAAAGGAAAGCCACTGAAGGTATGTTAACAGCAGCAAACGTATGGCGGCATTTAACCTATGACAGGTAGTAACCTAGCAGGTAGTACCTTTAGGATGAGCCAGCTCCTGCAGTCCTGAGGGCAGATGCTCTGTGGTGGGTCAGCACAGAGTGCAGGAGAAGGGAGAAAAACCTCAGAAAACACTTGAGTTTAGGGCTTTTGGAAGCAAATCCCTTCCGATGGTAACTGTGGGATTGCGCTAAGCGTAAGTATTTGCAGCTCAGTGTTCTGTGTTGTCAGTGAAGAGCTTGTCACTGCCCTCTGGTCTGTGGCACCTCAGACAGGTCGTGTGTCTACTTCACGGCATTGCGTTTTGTTGAGATGGCTACAGGAGCACTCTGCTGTATATAGGTGCTCCTGTACTCTCTGCAAGTCCTGATTATACTCACATCTGCCTAAAATTGGGATGCCTAGAAATAATACCTAAAACTGAGATCAATTCCACCTTGAATAACTTTTTTTTTTTCTTTTTTGATTGAAATTGCATACCAGTCTCCCCATGGGAGTTGCTCTAGTGTTTACTCGATGTTTGAGGACAAGACACCAA